GACTATCTCCAGTCTCCATCACCAATCTCAATTGTAATAGTAAAGGGCTCAACAAGTATTTATAATAGCCTTAGTTCTTTGTAGATATGAAATCTCCATCTTTCTGCATCAATTAATCTTTTGGATTCTACATTTTCTCTTATAACTGTTAGAATAAGTGAGAGATTATATGGCACTAGACTTCAGTGGATTTTAATGAATATAAACCTACCTAATCTAGCATTCTGTTCACAATAGCTAAATGATGTCCATGGGAAGGCCACAAGCAGGGCATGAATGCAATGCCACAGCATCCACCACTTGTGTTCCTTCCAGTAGTTGACATGCAGAAGCATCCTGTGTACAGTACTGAAAGTAAACATTGTCTTTTAATGATGTAAACCACTGTCGTATACTCATTGTTTTCAGCTTTAAAAGTTGTCTTTCAATGTTGAAAGCCAACCTGGATCCTTTTTAAGGAGAAAGGCAGAGTATAAACAAACAAAGGAAGAAAGAAAGAAATCCAGCCATCATGTATCTGACAGCTCCTGGTTCAAGCAGCAGGGCTTGATTTACACTGCCATTTGGGAGTGATTATCACAAACAGCTTCGTTTTCTATTAAATATATATTATGATAAACTTGCTGAATCTGAAAGCCTTATTTAATCTCCAAAATAGATGAGAGTCTCTTTGCAACCCAATTTGAATCCTGATGTCTGGTTTAATACAAACACACACAAGCACAGAATCTATGATACTAGTAATATTTATTACACAGTTATGCCACCATTAATTTAAGAAACCACCAGCGAAGTATAAATGTTTAGTCTTTTTAGTATACAGTGGTGGCTTGCTTTACGATTGCCCTGCATTACAACGAAATCGCATTACAACGATCTTTTTGCGATTGCAATTGCGATTGCAAAACAATGGTCTGAACGGGTTTTTTTCGCTTTGCGATGATCAGTTCCCTGTTTCGGGAACCGATTCTTCGCAAAACGATGATTTTCCTCCAGCTGATTTGCGGTTTCAAAATGGCCGTCGGGTAAATAAAATGGCTCCCTGCTGTTTTCTGGGACAGAATCCTTGCAAGAGAGCCACCGAAAATGGTAGCTCTATGGAGGATCGCTGGACAGTGAGTTTCCAGCCCATTGGGACGCATTGAAGGGGTTTCAAAGCGTTTCAATTGGCTTTTTATTTTCGCATTACGACGTTTTCGTTCTACAGCGATTTCACTGGAATGAATTAACGTTGTAATGCAAGGCACCACTGTATAGTCTAAGGAATGTTACTCCATGCTCTTCCAACCTCATTAAGCATGACAGTTTCACTTTTAAGACAACTGTCTCAGACATTCTGTCACCCAGAGATACAACCAGTCCTACTGGTTTTGAGACAGTAAATGGTCACGTGCCCAATAAGCACTATTATAAGACATAAATTAATCAGATGCTGAAACTACCATCCTATCAGACCAAGTTCCCATCAATCTTCCCAATATTTTCATCCGATGCATTCATTTCACATGATTTCCAGTCATTGTGGAACCTGCTACACTAGAATTCTTCACTTGAAGAATTCAAGGGGAAGTAAATACCACCTTGACACAAAATCTGCAATGAGCACACCAAATAAACCTGGTAATCTGTCTGATGGTCAGCCAGTGCAGTGTAATGATGGACAAGGTTAGGACTCAAATCCTCACTTGGTCATGGGAACTCACTGTGGAGTGGTAATAGTAAAACACCCCTTGAACTTCTTACATACTTCAAAAACAGTATTAGAGCTGCTGTAAATTGGAAGAGCACATACTGCCTAAGTACAATGTACTCCCATCCTGGGAACACACAGAGAGGTGCTAGGATCAGCTGTGGCTTCCTTGAAACGTACATAGATAGCAGATGCATGAGAAAACATCTGTAACTGCCTCTTAAATTGCAGGGTCCATGCAGTGTACCTGATAATCTAACATCTGAGAAGACTCCAGGTCCCATACACAAAAAGTCTCAAGTGTGGTCTTCTGGATGGCTGTAAGTTACATGGACTGCTGTTGCTTCCTGGATATTTACAGAAATAAGCAAAAGGTTTGCTACTTTGCTGCTGTTTCAGGCCTGAATCCGAGTATTTCAAATGGTCTTTCTGGAAGGCTGGTAGCTAAGATCTTAAACGTTGCCTTATGAACTTGAAGTCTTTTTGCAAGCTGAAACAAGTCCACAATTACTGATTATCAGCTGAATTTGTGCTGGGTAGGCTGTTCCCAACAGTTCTAGTTGAGCAAGGTTCATTCAAGTCTTTATGATTTGTACCTTTCTCAATTCCTGGGCCTGCTGCAGGCATTAAAACAATGAGAAGACATATCATCAAAGTGATGAGCAGGTTTGACTGAAGCCTAGGTTAGTTTCACTGGAACTAACATTTTAAAGGCAGCTTGAGGCAGGCGTGGTTTAAAGGAGAGACTGGCAAACTTACTGTCAAAGTGGGCTTAGTTCACAAAAGCTTATGCTGTAATAAAATTTGTCCATTTAAAAAATGTAACACTCCTTGTTGCTGTAGCTGCAGAAGACTAACACAGCTTTCTTCCTACCTCCAAAAAGCTGTACATTCATGATCAACCATATGCAACAGGCTGGTTGGGCTGACTGTACAGCTTAGCAAGTTTAGTAGCTGATGGTGGAGCCCTGGGGTGAAAGATCAGTTCCCCATTGTGCTTCCTGAAACCAGACTGTGTAGCTTGGGCAACTACACAGTGTCAGAGCTGGGCACCTTGCCAAAGAAGAGCCTGATAAACCTCTGAAAACTCTACACCCAGAAAAAAAACTGGAAGAAATCAGTGTAAGTTGGAATCAACTTGACAAGCATACAATTATTATTATAATAAATGTTCACAACATATAACCCAGCTTTTAAGTGTAATAGAGTAAAAGTCAAGACCTGGAGTTCACCAGCCTGGGATTGTGTTGTTTGTTGCAGTCTTAGACTAGCCATTAACTGAAGTTCTCTGGGTAGTACAGAACATGTTAAAAACCAAACTACAATGTATTAATAACTAATGAATTAACTTTGTGTGCTTTCAAGTCAATTCTAACTTATGGCAATCCTTCTCAGTGTTTTATAGGCAGAGACTACTCAGAAATTCACTTCTTCTGGGGACATGCTGGGACTGTGCAGTTTGCCCAAGGCCCCACAGGCTGGCTCTTCTGAGATGCACAGTGGGGAGCTGAAGTCCAAGTCTCTGGCTCCACAGCCAGAAACCTAACTCACTGAGCTATCTAGACAGCCAATAACAACTAAACACAGCACAAAATAAAACCGTTGTAAAAGCAGCAGCAAAGCAAAACACCACAACAGATAAAGTCAAATAGAAGGAGCAGCGAAATAAAGGAGTACAGTAGTGTGATAAAAAGAACTAAGCACATGCTTATGAGAATAAGGCTATCTTCATCTGGTATCAGATGAAAAATTGGAACTTCTTCTGCCAGATGAGCCTCTCTGAAATGTGCATTCCATAGAGAGAGTGCCACAAGTGAAAAGATCCTCTCATTTTTAGCCATCCACCTTGCTTCATTTGGTAGAACCTGGTGAGGAGTCCAAGGGGATGACATTAGCCTTCAGGTAGTAACTATGCGAGGAAATGCTCCTTCAGGCAACCTGGTCCCAATTAGTTTAGGGCCTTAGAGATTAAAATACATTGAAACTTTGACTGAGTTCATTCCAGCTAATTAAAATTTCTACAGCTGATTCCAGTTATATTTTAATTAAGACAACGATGGCTACTACTACATGCTTATGTAACGTATGGTTCCATTAACCATGCAAGTTTTGGTTTAAAAAACCAAGACAATATCTATAACACATCAAGACAACAACCAAATAAATACACTATATTTCCCCCAAGAATCCAAATTAACTGAACTAAGGATGTGGATGCATTATAACAATATCAGTGTTTCTCCACTATTAAAGTAACTTATGTCCTGCAATAAGAAGACGAGGTCTTATGTTTTCCAGCGCATGACGCTGATCCTAACATGAAGCACAATGTGTTTTTGACATATTGTTGGCACTTCAAATAACCTTTTTTTGCTAAAAGTCAACCCTATTAACATGGGGATTCATTACCATTTATCAATCAACTGAGTAATCATCTTGTTTATGGATAACAGTTAGTACAAAGGAAACGTTACCAAAACTTAAGGAGGCACATCGTTCTCCCAGAGCGAAGTACAGAAGCACGGTGTTCCCAATTATTTAGGTGCCACAGCCAAAAGGAACCATTTCCCAGTCCCTAGCAAAAAAGACAAACTAGTGCGGAGGAACTTGACTACGAGTGTGTATGAGGAAAAAGGCACAGCAAACACACGAAGTAGCCAGGATCGCTTTACCTTTGCTTTCTCTATATGCCACGTACTTTTAAAAAAGAGCACTGTCAGCTTCTGCCTTTGCTAGGGAAGGAGGCCCAGAACATTGGTTCAGGCTTCCAGCTTTCTGAACCTCTTTTGCCCCCTGGATTTTGCATTTTAAAAGGAGGGCCCCAGCTTTCAAGACAGCTCCCCCTCTGCCAAGAAAATCCTTCGGGCTCGATATTTATCCAGGTAAGCTGAGGAAAGGGGGGGGGGCGGCGAGAGCAAAGAAAAGTTTTGAGAAGCCCAGGAGGCAGGCGCTCTGACTGGACTCCGGAAAGGCGGCTTCCTCCTCCTCCTCCTCGCTCTCCCACCACAGCACGCTTGGCGAAGGGGATCCGGGACCTTTACGACCCGGACCCCTGCCTCTTTCCCTATCCCGGAGCCTTAATTCCTTGCCATTTTAGGGACGGGGCTCGGGGGTGGGGTAGGGCTCCCCTGAAATCAACGCGGGATCGGCCGTGGTTGCACAGCTAACCCACTGGCAACATGCAAGGCGACCTCCTCCTCCTCCTCCTCATTTCCACTCCACTGTCCCCCCCGCCCCGCCCCACTCGGTGCTCTGGGGGGGGGGTCAATCAAGCAGGAAATGCTCATTACCTCGCCCCAGCCTTACTTACTTTTGCAAGCGCTGCCGCTCCCTGCCAACGTGTGGCGCGTCGGAACCTCCCCGGGAAAACTTGGGGAAAAACAGCAAAAACCTCGAAGGTTCCGGGACCCGACTTGAGAAAGAAAGAAAACCCCAAAAAGCTGGGGGATGGGGGGGGAGGGAGGAAAGCCCTCCAGGTACTCGCCGCCGCACATCAGACTGACAACATGTTGGATTAGTCATTCATAGAGGGAGGGGTGGAAAGAAGCAAGCCCCCGCGCTGGATTCTGGGAGCCGTAGTTTCCTGCGGCTTCCTGCTCTTGCCCTTTAAAGAGCAAAGGGCGGAGAGAAGAAGCGCCGACTCCATTTCCCAGAGTGCAGAGCGCGACGCGTGTGCGGTGAACGCAGCCTGTCCCTTATCCGCTCGACTTTAGATTCTGGATAGTTTGGTGCCTTTTCGCCGGGGTTCTTTCTGTGATTCCGGTTTTGTTGGGTTCATTATTTTATTTATTTATTTATTTATTCTGTTTATATCCCGCCTATCTGGTCGTTATGACCACTCTAGGCGGCTTACATAGTCGTAATACTATAATAAAACAATAATAATAAAAAAGAGTTATTACATTAAATAGATAAAACTTCAAGATGGGGAGAAAAATGAAAGATAGAAAGAGAAACAGATATTAACTGGAGGGGAAGTCCTGCCTGAACATCCAAGTTTTAGTTGTTGTTTTTTAGTTGGTTTTTCCTTGTGATCTTTCACAGGGCACCTGTAGCTAGCGGTTTACAAGCACGTTGGGTTCTTAATACAGTATTGCTTCTTCAGCCCTGTTCCTTGGGGCTTGTTAATGACCAAAATGACATGCCGCCAACTCGTAGTGACACGTCCCCCTATTTTCTAGCCACTGAGTACAGTGCTGTACTCACCGGTAGTTTGCCCTTCTCTTCTCCAGGGGGCGCTGTGGACCTCTGCAGGTGACCAAAGGCTACACAGGCTGGCTCATCTCCCAGAAGGCGGGGGTTGTGCTTCTAACCTGTGGCTCTGCAGCCAGGTGCCCATCTCACTGAGCTGTCTGGCTGGGGTCCTGTTAGGTCCGAATTTGCACGTGATTAAAGATCAAAGAAGGTTTGCCTGTTTGGATCTGCTGGTGTTGCTCATCACCAGAGCCAAGGGCGTGGGGTACAAAATACCACTGTTCTATATACACTGATCCCTTATGAGCCTGTTCTTCTGGCCCATATTTGATATGATTCCTGGAAAGATGGGCTCTTAAGTTTATATTTATATACCCTTTCCTCCTGTGAGGTCAAGACAGTATAGGCGACTTTTCATTTCATTTCACAAAAACCCAGTAAGGTAGGTCAAAAGCAGAGAAAGAGTGATCCAAGACCACCCAGTGTGTTTTGTGGCTTGTTGGGAACTAGAACTTAACTCTCCTGATACAAAATCTAATGTTTTAGGGTTACACTGGATGTATCTGTGTAACCCTTTAAAGGGGTATATTCTTTAAAGAAGAATTGTAAGTGCAAGGTAATTTAGGCATGGGAGTTTCACTCCAAAGTGTGCAACCCAAGTTCTTAGAAATGCAGTTTCTCTGTCACATATAGTAGGACCCCCGTATCTATGGGATCAGTATCCACAGTTCCACTTATCCACAGTCTGAAAGTATTAAACTATTAATACAGAAAAAAAAGCTAATTTCACATGTATTACCAGAACAGGCCACAGAGTGGAGCCAGAAGCCATGCTATGAATACTTGTTAGTGAAGAATACATAGCATGGTCTCTAATGCCCTCTAGTGGCCAGTTCTGTAATCCATGTGAAAAAAATCTTTTTTTTCTTTTACCATTCTCTATATATATAACCATATATAAATATACTATTATAGATAGATTAAAAGTTTGCTATTATCCACAGTTTTCAGTATTCACAGTAGGACTTGGAACCAATTCCCAATGGCTATGGTGGTCTTACTGTACATACTGTATGTACATTGTGAAAATTATTAGACAGCAGATGAGGTTTGTAGGACTGAGCAAAATACGATCCCATATGCCCGAAACAAAAATTTTCCCATCTTACATAACTAAAGAAAGTAGTGGTAGTAAATTTATTATTTATATAATAAATATATAGCTAAATATATATAACCAAAGAAAGCAACAATGGTAGCAAATTTATTATTTATGTAAAATATTTTTACCTCACCTTTCTCCTTAAAAAGAACCAAGGTAGTTTACATCATTAAAAGAGAAAGTATACAAATACAGTACTACACTACAACAAGGTGAACAAAACAACACCAAAACCACATTCAAAAGCAGTAAGCCAGAACAGTTCATTTAACACTCACTGCTGAGGTAGCCAGTCACTGAGGGAAAGCTTGCCTAAAAAGGAAGGTCTTCAACTGCCTGCAGAAGAACAAGAATGATGGGCCAGCCTAGCCTCCCATGGGAGGGAGTTCCAAAATCTGGAAGCAGCAACAGAGAAGGCCCTCTCTCATGTCCCCATCGAATGCACCTGTGATGGTGGTTAGGACCAAGACAAAGGCTTCTCCTGATCATCTTAACACCCAAGCAGGCTCATAAAGGGAGATGTGATCCTTGAGATAGCTTGAACCCAAGCCGTTTAGGACTTTATAGGTTAGAAGCAGGCCTTGGCATTGTGCCAAGAACAAAATCTGCACCCAATGGAGCTGCTGGTTGCCCAGACCCCTCTTTTTATATTCTTTTTAGGCAGGTTGCTACCATGTTTTCGCGAAAACAAGACAGGGTCTTATTTTAATTTTTGCTCCAAAAAAAAAAAAAAAAACAAAACCCAAAAATCATTAGGGCTTATTTTCAGGGGATGTTTTATTTTATAGTCATGTCATCTTCTGGTTGCTGCACAATGGTGGAGGGCAGAGTTTCATTTAACTAGGGCTTATTTTTGGGGTAGGGCTTATATTACGAGCATCCTGAAAAATCATACTAGGGCTTATTTTCAGGTTAGGTCTTATTTTCGGGGAAACAGGATAGCTCGGCATGTGCATTAGATGTTTCTTTGTTTCCCCCTACATACAAGGTCCTTATCACTTATTGTGAAGTATGGAATGCTTAATGTGTCTTCCATCACTTAGTAGACAGGTGTGGAATCTGCTTGCTCAGGAGGATCCTCGTACCAGGGTCTTCTTAACCCCTGAGTTTGCTCCACTTCCTCAATTAGTAGCAGATGTTTTTTTATAAACTTACCAAAAGCATAGTCCAAAAAGTTCAGTTCAAGAGTTTAATTTCTCACATTGAGGGCTTATAGCCATAGTTCCTCTGGTTTTGTTGGTCTCCACCTTTGTGTCTTAACTCTCTCTCTCTGGCTCTTCACTTTATCCAGGCCAAAAATGCATGCACCTTACATCTACATCTGCCAGCAGGAGACTTGGGAGTATATTGGTTAAGGTTGCGCAATATTTTGTCCTCCTGACCCCATCCTACCCCTCTTTTTTGTCAGCAACAACCACAAAAGGAAGTACAGTAACTTCTCTTTGTTCTATATGGAAATAATATGAATTGAACTGGAGACCTCCTCCATGAAAAGTATATGCTCTATCACAGGACTATTATCCTTCCCCTGTGTGCAAGAGACCTAGAATGCTGAGTACCAGTCATTAAAATACTGTAAAATGGAAAAAATTGCCCCTGTTTAGGGAAGGAAGAGGTACTGTACACAGAAAGGAATCCATATCTTAGGTTGGTATCCTGAATGGCAGCTCTTCTCTGTGTTAAGCTTTTATCAGCAATCACATCTAAACATTTTGTGATTCCCAACTGCACACTAGCATAAACTAATCTTGCTTCATTCCTTGAATTAATATTTCCTGAATCAGAACATCTACAACACTGCCTCCAAGTGGCTATATCTTTAAAAGCCAACATTGTTGATAGATTATTTCCACTTAAGTGAGAAAGGACACCAGTGTTTCCTGTACACCAATAAACCTGAGTGGTGGTACTAATAAAAGACCAGAGCACAGGTTGCTGTCCTCTGAAGATGCCGGCCACAGAGACTGGCGAAACGTTAGGAAGAACAACCTTCAGAACACGGCCAAAGAGCCCGAAAAGCCCAGAACAACCATAATAAAAGATTGTCGCTAAAGATAACAAACATGAATCCAGGAATATAGTCAAAATACCAGCAAAAGAGTGTTATGGGAAAGTGATCAATTGCTGCCATAAAATTGTGATTCACTAAATCTTTAGCACCCTGGAGAGGGAAAAAACCAGCTCTGCTTAGAAAAATCTGAACATTTCTCAATCCCCTACAATACAATGCCCTAGAGGCAAAATCCGGAGCTGGAGTCCCGAAGGCAGTTCGTGTCGTTCTGCCAGCTCCTGCGACGTTGCTGGAACCAGTTGTATTGGCTCTTGCCTTTCCATTGGACCATTTTAGCAAAGTGGAGAGGTGAGATCTGCTTGGATAACAGCCTATCCTCCATATTACTTTACCCAGGCTTCATGCTCTGGAGAGGACACTCCTCGATTCAGAGCATGTTACCATAGTCTCTCGAGACTGAAGGATGCCTATGATGACAATGCACAAACCAGAAAAAAGCTATAATTGTAAATAGATGTTCTTTGGCTGCATATAATTTAGATACAGTTCAGGTGGATCTTGGGATAACAGCCTATCCTCCATATTACTTTACCCAGGCTTCATGCTCTGGAGAGGACACTCCTCGATTCAGAGCATGTTACCATAGTCTCTCGAGACTGAAGGATGCCTATGATGACAATGCACAAACCAGAAAAAAGCTATAATTGTAAATAGATGTTCTTTGGCTGCATATAATTTAGATGCAGTTCAGGTGGATCTTATTATGTGCAGCAGATTCAGCTCAAATTATAACATACCAATGAACACATGATACTCCATTCTTCAGTCATCAGAATGAGCTGAGAACCATAAATTCCTCAAAAACATTGGGAAAAATTGCATCTCTAATATCATTGATTTAAGCCTGTCTCTAGAAGAAGTTGTAGTAAATTATGTTTTTTTTTAAAGTAATCTAGTAGAAACAGTTGTTCCTTTCTGGCACTAATCACTTCATGCCCAAATGTCTAGATACTGTGATGTAAGTAATCTGTGAAATCAGCTTCTCCTCTAGAAGTCAGTATTCAAAGTTGATTGTGTTGTGCTCAATTCAGTCCAGATTAGTCACTGTTCTGAAAGTTGAGCTACTTTGGGTGATATACTACAAAATACAAAGAACATGTATTATAAAATCAGCCATAAAAGACACTAATAGACTATAATTACAGATAACATAGGCAGCAGAAACTAACAGTTTCCTTCATTCAGCATTCCTCTCCTTCTTCTTTCTCTATCCCATTACCTGGGGAGGACTTCCCCAATGGCATCCCTTAAAATACTGATTCAGGCACTTCTTAAAGGTGTGGAGGGAGGGAGCTTAGCTTGGCACATTTCTTGTGGGAGAACATTCTATAGAGAGGGTGCCACTGTTTAGAAGGCCTAGTTTCTGGTTGATGTTTTATGGGCTTCTCTAGGGATCAGTAATTGCAGGTGTGAGGTCTGTGAGGGCTGGATCAGACGGGTGACAGAACATGGAAGGAGGTGCTTGTTATGGTATAGCAAGAAACAGACTTCTGACTTCTCTTTAGAGTATTCCTTTTTCTTTGCCAAGCTGCTGTTGGTTAAAGATATCCAAAAATGTACGCATACAATAGAGACTTAGCTGCTTTCCTTGGAGCAAATATGGACTTCTTTCATGGCTTTCTTTCTCCCCTTTTGCACATGAATACCTGGTTTATTTTATCATGGTTTATTAAAATTATTTTCAAGCCATCTTTTTTTCTCTGAGGAGCTCAAGGCAATCTAGATGCTTCTCTTCAGTCTTACCCACTGTATCTCTGAAATCAGCCCCTGTTCTTCCATAAAACTCAACTATGAATGCTGAATACTTTGCATGGTCCAGATTAATAATAATTATGTGCCATAAAGTGAACTTCAGATTATGGGGACCCCTTTTCTAGGTATAGAGTACTCAAAATGGTATACTTGCCCATGGGTACACAGTCTGGCTCTTCCTGAGGCAGGGGAACATTATGGAATCATACTTCTAACCCAGCTTGCTTAGCTATCCAGACATCTTCAGTCTAAATTACTTATGATGAATGTGGTACAGTGGGGTCTCTACTTAAGAACTTAATCCGTATTGGAAGGTGGTTCTCAAGTTGAAAAGTTCTTATGTTGAATCTGCATTTCCCATAGGAATGCATTGAAAACCATTTAATCCGTATCTGCTCTTTTCCGTCCATAGAAACTACAGTGGAACCTCTACTTAAGAACTTAATCCGTTTTGGAATGGTGTTCTTAAGTTGAAGCAAAATTTCCCATAGGAATGGACTGAAAACCAATTAATCCGTTCTGGCTGTTTTTCGTTATGTAAAGGTGCGTTCGTACATTGAAGCATTAGTTCCCATAGGAACTAATGCAAAGCTGGTTAATACGTACTCTACCACTAGGGGGAGAAATTTTTTTTAACCTAAGATGACCTAAGGTTAAAAAAAAGAGCAGGAAAGGTTTTTTTTCCTTTTCTTATCTTGGATTTCTGTTCTCAAATAGAAGCAAAATTTAGCAAATGGAGCTGTTCTTAAGTTGGATTGTTCTTAAGTAGGGATGTTCTTAAGTAGAGCCCCCACTGTAGTCATGTGCAAAGAACCCTCCCACTCCTTGCCCTCTTGATAGATGCCTCCATCTATCTCAAAGACAATGAGATGAACAGCCCCCCTTTGGGTCATGGGGGACAACTTGATCATTCTTTTCTCCCCAATGTCCTTGTTCTCCACCCCCCAGTTAAAAAAAATCAGTTAATGGTAATGGTACTTTTTCAGCAAACATCCCAAACAATCAATTTCTATAAGGAAAAAAAAAGGAAGGGAGTAGATTCACGGAAGTGGATGAAGCCCTCCAAGATGCAGAGATGGGCATGACCAACCATCAGCCTCCGGAAATAGCCTACCCGGGGTTTAAAATAATACAAAAAGCCCAGGCCCTTTCCTTAATATTGCCCATCTACTAGGTTAAACCACTTAGTTCACATGGGCCATAGCTACGCACGCACACAAAGCAGGAAAAAAATTTTTTTTAATGTTCCAGTTCAATTTGTATACTACCTACTAGTGTTCCACTTACATCTTTGTTAATGAAGAAAATATTAAGAAGACACAATCACTATACAACATTCATCCACATTTAATCAAACCTTGCAGCAAAGCCCCTGGAATTTGTCCCAGACTGGAAACGGAAAAGCATAAACTATTTTATTTTGAGGTCAAAGCAATCATTACCTGTAAATCATTAAGCTCCATAAAATTCTTATCTTTACTATGAATAGTACAAACTGCCGATTGAAAACACAGATTGCCATGTGTTTTTTTCCCCCAGAGGCAATTTTATTTAGAAAAAGTAGAGGCATTTCATTCTTTTATTATCACTAGTACGTACAGTGGAAAAATGGCTGAATTTAGTACAAAAGCTTGACTTTTAGGACAAAAGCTGTAACTAAATTTGGTTATGCATGGATCAAGCAAAATTTGGCGTTAGGGTTGACAAGCTGTTTTCACATGAACCCAAGTCATATCATGTCAAATGTGTATTCAAATTTAACCCTGGGTTGCTTGTATTGACAATTTAATTTTTCATATTAATGTATTTTGTTATATTCATATCAGTTCATGTTAGTTTGTTTCCAAGGTTTGCTCAAGTACATCACTAGACTGCACTGTGCTCCACCATCAGGCCATAAGATTGCTGGTATGATTTCTTGGGATCAAACTATACATTACTTTAAAGATGTATGGCGCTATTAGAGTTTTCAGACAATTTTTGCCATACTGCTGGAAATAAATGTTTGTTTTGATAAGGTGAAAATTACCTGGTCAGTCCTGACTTATGGGGATCTTTGTCTGGGTTTTCCAGGTAAAGAATATTTAGAAGTGGCTTACCATTCCTTTCTTCTTGGGCAGCTGGCACTGCTCATACGAGGCAGAGTGGGGAACTGAACTCCTAAAATCTGGCTCCACAACCAGATACCTAAACCTCTGAGCTATCCAGCCAGGTTATGTTCTTTTTAGGGTTTCATTTTTCTACACCACTACCCCTGGAACTCTCTAGACATTGTTAAACTGTTACAATATTTTGGAGGAAAACCAGATAAAAGCTGCTAAGATACAGTTTTTGCACATTAATTAGAACACACTGAATTACCTTCCTGAGCCAGTCTTCTGTACATTGTTGATACAGAGGCTCTAACTAGGAAATAGTCTCTTTTTTCAGGGAACATACTAGGTGACTAACATATATTGCATCAAGGACTAATCTCTTGCTGCCAGCTGCAGAATCCTTTCCTTTTATGACTTGCAGTTCAAAGAACGGAGTGAAAAATCGATCTGCTATACGGGCATCTATTTATTATGCCATAAATCTATCAAATGGAAATCTAACATGTCTATTTATTTCTCCCACCTGGAATTACATACTGTTTACTATGCATGAATAGGAGCATAAGAGCAGACGGGATGGATATTCAGCTAAGAATTTTTTTTTATTACAGTATCTCAACATAGTAGCCTGGTTTCCTGCAGGATTTTTATCTTCCCTAGAATAATTCATGAGTCACTGAAGTAGATTCTGGGAGGGGGGTGATTACAAGGTTCTCATTCATCTCCATAATACAATATGGCATTGTCAGGTACTGTATCCTGTATCTTTAATCCTCTGTTTCATGATGTGGCAGCTCCACAGAAACCTATATAATGGAACACTGCAACTATATTGTATTCTAACTATTTATGAGTGCTACCAGACTGAGTGCAGTTCCATCTTTGCTCCTTGATGGATTATACCCCCACTCCTCTTTTTTTGGTGCAGAAAGGGAAAAGATGTAAGACACCGTGGAAAAACATTGGACCATGAGAAGTGGAAGTCAATGTCATCTGGACCTCCCTTGCAATTCCATGAATGAGGCACCACAGAAGCCTTATCAGGGAAGCTCTCTTTTTCTGCATTTGATTAGCATTTTCAGTGATAAGAAAGAGAATTTACCTGCCTGAGAGTCAGGCATGGGAACAACTTCTACTGCATTTTAGCCTCAGTTGAGACTGGATGAAAAATCTTATGATCTTCAGCTTTGAGGGGTGGGTGAGGGTGGAATGGTATGTCATATTTTAGAAGAACTCTTATCTCTTGAGATGGGAAAGATCAACAGAAGGAACTTCCAGTTTTCTTATCAACATTGATTTTCCTGTGTGGCACTTAAGTGAAAAACCAGTCTCTGAGTAATAAAAGCTTGGTGGAATGAAGAAACCGGAGACCATGACCAACTCGTCTACTAAAGGCGGGCTAAATTACTAGAAAGGCAATGACAGGAGTTTCTAATGCCATTGAGTGACTGCCTGTGGAGGAGGCAGTTTTCATCTTTCCAGAGGTCCCCTCTTGTGTTTCAGAAACGGCTTTGGCTGGAAGCTCAACAATATGCCAGGATAATCATTTGATCAGAGAGGCGGTCAAGCTGGTTTTGCAATGTGCAATCTTCCTTGTATTCTACAAGAAGCACAGTGGGCAATTTTTTAAAAAAGAAAGAGGTCTGTATGCTGATTTTGGACCAGTTAAAACAGACTGAGAACTCTGCACGTCCATATTTTCAAGAGCTGCCCTGGAAACTCAGCAGCTACCTCCTCTGCCATGCAAGACCTATTGACCTCCAAAGGAACATAACTCAACATCATCATCTGGCGGCAACATCTTTGTATTTCCAGAAATTCCCAGTGAAGGCCACAGTTACTCACCAGCTTGGAAATGAACATTAACTACAACATTAGCTAAACGTGATCTAAAGGTGGCATCTGGAGCGTCCATCAGCAGCACCTAGCATCGCTTCCTTCCTCAGATCAGTTATCAGCACCTCGGAAGTCTATCTCCCCTCACCAGAAAGGTATCATGACTCTGCTCAAGCTTTTTCTCATGGCTTTCAGCTTTGTCTTCTGGGCAGCAGGTCTCAGCATGCTCATCATTGGCATTTGGGCCAAGCTTTCACTAGGCACCTACTTGGTGCTGTCCACCAATGAGTACCCTCATACTGCCTTCATTTTGTTGGCTACTGGCGTTGCTGTCATTGTGTGGGGCTTTCTGGGTTGCTTTAGTGCTGCCACTGAACACCGTTGCCTCCTGCGTACTTATGGGAGCTTTCAGCTGGCTGTGTTGGCGGCTGGTTTAGCAGCAGGGCTCTCCAGCTTATTTTATCGCAAGGATGTTGCAGAGAGTTTCCGGAATGGGTTGTGGGAAGCTGTCCGTTCCTACACAGAGGACGAGGAGAAGGCAGAGGCTTTGGATTTCATCCAGCGTACCTTGGACTGCTGTGGAGTGGAGAGTTATCGTGACTGGTTTTCCTCCCCTTGGTCTATGGAACAACAGGTGCCCAATGGGTCAGTGCCTGTGAGTTGCTGCCAGATGTGGAAAAGATGCCTGCACAGCCCTCTCCCTTCAGATGCCCGGGGTATTTACCACGATGGATGCTTTAGCAAAGTCTGTAAGTTTGTGAGTGACAACATGTTCTACATTGCCACTGCTGCACTTGGGCTGGCTGTCATGCAGGTGGTGGGCATTGTCCTGGCTTGCCTCCTGGCTGCTCGAATTTTGCCACATGCTGAGCCACCAGGAGATGCCATTCCACACTGACCTCACCTGTGCCCAGCACTGAGATCTTTCCTCCAGCAGCCACTCTTCCAAAAGTATTGTTCTCCAAGCAATGCCCTCACCACCTGCCTGGACGAAGTCTTCCAGCCATAGCTGACGACATGCACTGCTACAGCATTTCATAGTCTTTGCAGCCACTTCTAGAAATTCCTTTAAACTGCTGCCTGCAGCTTTCCCTTTATCTTCTTTCAAACTGCTATTTGTACCACCTTCTCTTCCAAGGAACCTACCCACCACCTGTCCCTTTTTTCTTTGCTGCCAAGACTAAAAACTCAGTACTTTTTTCTTTTGCAGTATCTCTCCACATACCAAATCTAACCCAGCCTGTGTGTTTCTTGTTTTTTAACTGTCCAGAGTAGACCTTTGGTCTAGATGGGTGGGATAGAAAGCCAATCAATCAATCAATCAATCAATCAAGCAATCAATCAATCAATCAATCGATCAATCAATCAATCAATCAAGCAATCAATCAATCAATCAATCGATCAATCAATCAATCAATCAATTAATCAATCAATCAATCAATCAATCCCTTCAGATAACTTGCAACCATGGTTCCAGATAGTTTGGTAACAACTCATTAATTCTACCTGTTTCTTCTGCTGCCTTTCCCAACAACAAGGGGAGAGGAAAGCTATCCTCATTTTAGGTGCTACTGAAAGGGCCATTTTTGCTGGAATGCTGGAGGGAAGAAGAACAAGCTTGTATCTTTTCTTGCGGCAGTCGGTGAACCATTTGATATGAGGCACTCTATGGAATACTGAAATGGATGGGGAAGAGAACAGCATGGGGCAAACAGAGATTTATGGAGTGAATTACATTCTATAGGATGAAAGTATTGTAGGGCAAAAGCTGTCTCAGGGGAGGGGAAAGGAAAATTAAGGTCATGTCTGTGAAAGTAAAAAACTTAATAGAAAAATGTACTAGCATGTTTAGCTGTCTCTTGCTTGGCCATGAACGTCTAGGCAAGGTATATTTCCTTAGGATGTGGGACGACTTTGATGTTTCATTAAGGGACTTATCTTGAAAACTGGCAATTCCAGTTTTCAATCAATGGAAGATACGAGATAAACTTTTATTCTTTGCAAAACTTAGTGTAAACCCAGAAGATTGAAAAGGATGGTTATTTCTTTCCAAAACTGCTCTCAAGAACATTTTCCATGGATGTATCTCCTTGAAGGAGCTACATTTCATTAAGGATGTATGATATTTTCCTTACCCAGGAGTCACAGCATTCTACATCTCTTTATATACAACAACCCCTTATAAAATGGTTGTCAGCTTTTACAATTTTCTGGCTGTAGTGTGTGAAAACTGTTCCGCACGCTTTCTGGCTTCACTGAATAAACATGAGAAGTTGTATCAAGTCTCAGCTGAAGCCACTGGAAAAAAATGTTGACTTTAATGTGGAAAAGACTGTAAAATTTCCAGAAATACAATATATTAAAGTTAACCATTTGGGAAATTGGAAGTGTTTGTGATACTTTGATTGTAGCAATGTATCAGAATTTCTAACTATAAGAGACCTTTATATTGTTATCTTTCTGCAGTCTTGTAATTGCATCTGTCCTCCCTTTGCTCCCCCACCCCCATGAGCTATTAAGAAAAGCTGCAGACTGGAATAAAAATACATTTGTGTTAGCCTAAATAGTGTGGAGTGAATATATGCAGCATATTAATTTTTCTGTTTGATCAACCCAGGGACCAGATAAGAGGGTTCAGTGGGAAGCTTTGGATACAGCAACATGTTTTAATTTTCAGATCTGTTTTTTGAAAGAGATTATATCTATTTATGTTAGATTCTGCATATATAAAACAAAAGGTACCTGTTCAGCAAGCTGGTACTTTTTTAGATGGAAAAAAAAAGTTAGAGATTAGTAGATTTAAGATTGAAAAAGGAGTTTTTCGGAAGGGAAAAATATTACAGATAAATAGTGCAAGGTATGCATTTTACAGTCAACTCTTTCCAGTTAAGCTAAACAAATCAGGCAGGTACATATACATATGCAGAGAGGGATGAGGAGTATTAAAACATGGCATGAGAAAAAACAAAATGGGGAGACAGAAGCTGTATACTGCTCATACTACTCTGCTGCCCAGAGTAGACCTTTGGTCTAGATGGGCGGGGTATAAATCTAATCAAATAAATAAAATAATACTGAATCTGAAATCATTTTTATAATTTTTAAGAAAGCTTCTATTTATATTGAAAGAACATTCTGAAAACTGGTGAATTCTTTGAAAGGCCCTAGTTATGAAAATATTTTTAACTGCTAGTTATATGATTCTTTTGCTTATGTCACTAAAGGTTACAGCTGTGTGTTGTGTGGAACTGTGATGGAAAGTGCTGTCTATCTATTAGCAGCAGTGTGAGCATGTGAAGGTCTCTCTCTCATAAATAATGAATTAGTCATGTATTAACTGGAAAAGATAACAGGTCAGCATCTGGCTGACTGCACATGTGATATAAAACATGCTTTGACTGGATCACCATTTGATTGGTGCTCTTAATTGCAAAAAAAATCCTAATAATCTTCTGTTTATGATCTAACAAATTCCAAGGCCAGATTTAGACAAGCCAAATGTTCCTGGACTAAAAACTACTATTATCCCTGACCACCGGCCATGCTGATTGAAGACAAGGGACATTTATTTATTACATTCATAATCCTCTTTTCCTCCAAGGAATATATCTGCCCCTCTCCAGCTTATCTTCACAGTGGCACAGTGGTTAAACTGCTGTACTGCAGCCAAAACTGCTCAAAACCCAGGGTTGATCAAGGAGGGACATCACAGAGTTCTTCACATAAGGCTCTCATACAGAAGATTTGTCCTCTGTTGCTCTAGAGCACAGGACTAGAATCAGTAAGTAATGGAATCCTATGTAAACAGATTTTGGATGAGCATTAGAGGAAACTCAGTTTGGAAATTATATGTAATTTTAAAAACACAACTATGTTTCCCTTACCCACATTGTCTAAAGTGTGACTTCCCCCACCCCACCCCCTTACATTTCTCCATAGTAAAATTTTAGCCACTGTCCCTCACTATAGGGACAATATTTTGCCCACTGGGTTACAGCATTTTAAAAATATTTTCCCACATACACTAGTGAACATCCAGTGAAATAAACTGGCATAATAGTAAGTACCGAGGGAGCTTCAACAATACCTGCATTCATCTGTGTTCTGGCAGAGGTGTTTTTAATCGTGTGTGACCTTTCTGACACAGTCTATCAAGCTGTCAGTTTCTCAAGGCAGGGCGTTGGGAAAATTCAAGGTCTGACATTGCATCAACGTCTGTGTCTGTCTCAGAATACAGAGAGACTTGTGTTGTTGTGGGTTTTTCGGGCTTCTTGGCCGTGTTCTGAAAGTGGTTCTTCCTAATGTTTCGCCAGTCTCTGTGGCCGGCATCTTCAGAGACAGCAAGCCTTCGCGAATACAGAGAGAGACTTGTTTAACAATATATTACTGTACATACTGAACCATAGAACATATTTTCTGTACGACAATATATAAGAATCCTATTTATTAATTAAATTCGTGCTTAAAGCTGCTAAGGCATTTGAAGGAATTTAGATGGATTTGAAGATTCCATCAGACCCCGAAAGCAGTAAAACGTGAGACCTACGTGTATCTCTAACTCTCTCCCCCACACCAACAAACTCTTCCTAGGGTAAGGTTCCACTTTAGACCACTGCATCCCATAGTCTATGTATACTGCAAGGCAGGGGGTGAGTAAAGTGCAGCCACCACACCTGATCTTGTGGTTCATATTCCAATCCTCTATAAAAATGGTTTTACCATTAAAAAAGTGGGGATAAAGTACCACTCCTAGTAGCTCTCTAGAGCAGTAATACCCCTTCTAAGTAGGTTGTAGCCCTCTTCTTGACACTCTCTAACACCAATCAATATTGATTTTTCAAAAGTGGAAAAATTCTGGCCAATACTAATTTATTTTCTCTTTCTTTAAAAAAATCACTCAAAAAAGATTTTTCACATTTTGCACAGTTCATGCAATCCCCAGAGAAATCAAGGAAAGGAAAATTGCCCTCCCCCTGGATCCAGTGAAATTGCCTCCTCCTACCACAAGCACTCTCTGGGCAGTTCACAACCCATCAAAGGCATAATCAGAAATCATACAATAAGAATCACAGTATACAATAAATACAACTAAAACCCTGAAACAATAAACAAGGAAAGGAAAATTGCCCTCCCCCTGGACCCAGTGAAATTGCCTCCTCCTATCACAAGCACTCTCTGGGTGGTTCACAACCCATCAAAGTCATAATCGGAAATCATACAATAAGAATCAGAGTATACAATAAATACAACTCAAACCCTGAAACAATAAAGTCTACTGGTTGTTGTGGATTTTTTAGGCTCTTTTGCCATGTTCTTAAGGTTGTTCTTCCTAATGTTTTGCCAGTCTCTGTGGCCGGCATCTTCAGAGGACAGGAATCAGAACTCTGTCTGTGCTCCGTCTGTGCTCTGGAGTTCTCACTCCTGTCCTCTGAAGATGCGGGCCACAAACGTTAGGAAGAACAACCTTCAGAACACGGCCAAAGAGTCCGAAAAACCCACAACAACCATCAGATCCTGGCCGTGAAAGCCTTTGAGAATAAAATCTACATTTTAAAAGAATTAAACAAATTTAAAACAAGGTTTAACATCTCAGATCATAGTTAAAACATTTCAGTTCAATAGTTAAAACACCATAAAAGGTAGCTTTATATAATTCCTTTTAAACTAATTTCCTAAACACTGAGTGGGAGGGTGCCTGACAAACCTCTGTAGGAAGCTTGTTCCAGAGGGAAGGGGCTCTGACCAGGAAAGCCTGGTTCCTGCTGTTAGCTCCTTTGGCCTCCTTGAGTGTCACAATTTTAGCAGGAAGGACTGTGAGGAGTGGGTGGAACAGGTAGCAGGTATTGAGGTCTTAAACCATTAAGGGCGTTATAGATCATGATCAGCATCTTGAAATGAACATGGACACTAACAGGGAGCCAGAAAAGGTGTGCCAAGACTGGGGATATGTGTTCATAAATGCTGACACCTGTAATCAGTCTGGCAGTTGCATTTTGAATATGCTGAAGTTTCCATACTAACTTCAAGGACAGTTCTATGTAGAGAGCATTACAGTGGTCTATTTCAGAAATGACCAATGCATGATCCATTGCTGCTAGGCATTTCTTATCTAGGCTTGGCAAGCAACCAACGTTGATAAAAAGCAGACAGCTGGGACCAAGAGCACCTCCCACTGCAAACCCAGTCCTTCAGGGCAACGGTAACCCCACTCAGACCAGATAAATATCCCTCTAACCAGTCTGGCAATCCTCCCAACAGCAGAATCTGTGATCATCTGGACTCAGTTTCTAATTATTGGCCCCCTTCCAGTCTATTATAAATGCTAGTCACCACTTGCCATTGAAGAAAAGGAGAGGTAGAGCTGTATGTCATCTGCATGTTGGTGACAGTGAATTCCAAATTTCCATATGACTTCTGCCAGCAGCTTCATATAGTTATTCAAAAACATTGGGGAAATGGACAGTCCTTGAGGGGGCCTCATAACAGTGGTCCCAATGGGTGGACACTGACTCCCTGTGAAGGAGAGAGAGTGTGTGTGCCGTCCTCCACGCAGCAGAGTGCAGAAGAGGGACCAGGATGCGTGGAAGGGATATTGGTAGACATAGAGCAGGAACAAATAGAGGAGACAGGGAGTTTGGAGGCTGATGAAAGAGGGGAGGAGCTAGACCTAATTGTATGGGAGGGAGATATAAAAGAGACAGAAGGTGCGCGAAGTTTCAGCATTCTAACGGGCACACACCCTGACAAGAAGGACCAGGGAGTGCCGGACAGGAGGGTTTCTCCACGCTCCTCAAGGAGTTCCTGAATCTTCAAGCTGGCGGCAGACTTCTGCCTGACCCTAAAGATCTGCGCGCGAGGGGAGAATTTGAGCCACTGGAATGGACGGTAGTGGTGTATCCGCGCAACCAACGTGGGGGGGGAGGAGGGTGATCCGTCCCAGTCCCTCTTTACTCCAGCCTCAGAGAGAGGGAGACTGGGTGAGACACCCCTGCTGTGGGACGGTGTGTGCGGTGAGGAGCACCCCCCTGAGGCCCATGACCGACAAGGAACGATTTGGTCCGGCCCCTCAATAAGGACAGACATTCAAACACCTGAAGTTAAGGTGCGGTGTTATCATCCGCTGCCAGAACATAGTTTAATGGACCCGTTTGAGCCAATGGAGTTGAGTTTATTTACCAATAAATCAAGTTGTGTTAAAAAATAGGGAACAGCCTCTGACTCTCATTCCCGCGCCAAGACAGGGGTCGCACACGGTAACCAACGAACCTAATCACACTCCCCAAGCAGTACCATCTTAGATTGACCCTTGAGGAAGGATTCGAACCACCAAAGAATGGAGCCCCAAGTCCTAAACTTGATAGCCCTCTCAGAAGGATATCATAGTCCATCAAAGGCTGCAGGAAGATCCAGAAGGACCAGCAGGCAGAGATGGTGGTCTTTTGACTCAAGTCCCAAGTCCTGAGTTCGAGTCTTTGGTATCAAGTCCCAAGCCTAAAGTCCAAGTCCCAAGTCTTGGCCAGAGGCCAAGAGGG